CCAGCCTGGCTAGTAAAATGTAGCTGTTAACTTAAAAACTACCAATTCATGACATTGCAAGGTGGAACAGTACATTTTTAGCTTTGGAGGTATAGACAGACTAATAATAAAGGATTACGCAAATGTATGTGACTGAGACAAAACACAACTCCAGGTATGTTTTTGATGAGGTAAGAACATTATAACATGGCTTAAAGCTCACAAGAATCAATTAGGACCTTTATATGTAAATACAAATGTTGTTTTTACCTTTTTTATGAATGTCTTATAATTGTATAAAATGTGTTAAATTTGTTAAAATTAGAAAATTCATAATGTTGACCAGTTTGTTTTTAATTCAAATCAAATAGCCAGTCCTGTCGCTTCCTTGTTCATCATGTTACCCACTTAAGACCCACAGTTGCTTGGTTAGTTTAAAGTGAAATCCGTGCTCGTTCTAATTATAATTTTTTATTAAAGCTACTTCCTCTGACACACAAATACATGGTTGTTTATATATATATAGCTGAAATGCTAATCTCCTTGTGCAGTGGTCAGTTGTTTGGATGCCCTCTCTGCTCTCCAGTGCATCCTGTCAAACTGGACAAATAGGGGCGATGAGTCGGTGATTTAATTTGGTCGTGGTGGTGATGGTGGGAGTGACCTCGCCCCGAAGCTGTTTCCGTGGAGGGCCGAGCAGGTCAACTGTTCAGCCATCTGTTTGTGCATGTATGTGCTGTGAGCGGGGCGCCCTGATGGATCATTTCAGCCTTTACACAAGACAGGCCTGGACACTGCCGGGTACTGCTGAGGGAGTTTATTCGGGTAAATTAGAGTCAGTCAAAGAGTGGGCATGATTGGTAGTGCTATATGCAAGCTCTAGCCAACAAGTAACCAACTTATATAATTATTGTTGAATTGAGTAAATTTATTTATTAGATCGTCATGAGCCTGAATAAAATCTATCAAACCTGCTTTATAAAGTACTACTTACTTTCTGATTCTTTCATAAAAATAAATGTCTATTTCATACTGCTTTTAAAAAGACTTCCATTAATCTCAAACAGCTACGATTATTGTTTAACAAACTACACTCCTGTCTATTCAAAAAACTTCAACATCCATTATATTCATGGAGATATTACCGACTGATATGCTCCACAATATGGGATTAATCTTTTGTATATCCATGAAGATAAACAAATTACAGGTTAGATCAGCCTGCTCACAGAATCCACACTTTTCAACACATTTGTTTCTGCAATAAAAAGTCCATGGAGACATTGGTGGCGGACCCCCAACAGAGACTTTACCTAGTGCTCCTTTAAGATCAGGGTGGACAATGGAGTATCTGAGCTTATCATAGATCAAAATTATTTGGTTTTGAAGATGCGTCTGTACAGCCCTCACAGTGAAGTGTCTCGTTTTAAGACTCATGTTTATCCTCTGACTTTTAAAACTGCATGAGTTGTGGAGTCCTCCGTGTCTTTTATTTACTTTTACTTATTTACTTTGCTTTTATTTGCTTTTAATGTTTTGGGACTAGTAAGATAACCATTTTAGCAATTACCCCTTTTGTTATTGATGCAAATTAAGTACTAAAGTGTTTCATTTGGCTGTTTATTTATTGCAGCTCCTGTTTTTAACAATATTGTAGATTTACTTTAGAATAGGTTTTGTGATTTAAATCTGCTCTTGGGTTTTTGTGTCAGTGGGCATTATCATGTATCATCTATAGTTACTTCAGCAATATAAGGAACTTCAGAATCTGTTATCGTGACAGGCCTATAGGACACTCCTCATGTTTGTATGTGAGGAAAATGCGAACCAGCCTGAACCTTTGGACTGGGCTTCCCTCTCTGCTCCTCTCAGACAAAGCACAACAGTTGTATCCCAGGATTGGTCTGGTTTAGTATGCGACGGGGGCTCACAGTTGCTTAGAGATGCTCAGAGCAGCTGTTAATTTGTTACAGGGCTGTGCTGTGTAGGAGTCTCCCATTGAGACAGGAGCCCGGCTTATTGGTTATGTGAGAGCAGCCTGGGTTCTTATTATGTGATGAGTTAGAGCTGAATGCGTCCTGACAATGAATGACTCACGAGCCCCGCGCCATTTTGACTTTCTAATAAACTATGAATAGATAGTGCTTTTCCAAGACGATAGATTGTAGAATGGGTTGTAATTTTACATTTTCAGAATAATTGCATCTGGAAGTGTTACTGGATTGATTTTGTAGGAACAGACTGGATTTCCCAAAGTTTCTCTTGTTTTGTTTCTGTTACTTTTTATTATTTTCCAGCTTGATGCTTTTTGGTGAGTTATTACTGTATTTTCATTTAAATGGCTCTGGATACACCCATTGATATTTGCTATGAATAAAACATACAGTATTTGTTTTTATAGTTAAAGCAACAGTATGTAGCCTGTGCTCTTACTGTTTTAAATTACAGTCACAGCTGAACCTGGGTTGCCAGTGCTTTAGGACACATGTGAGAGCTCAAACCCCCAGAATGTTAGTATTTATTCAAATCAGAGAAACAACAGGATTTCAGACAAAATTCAGCTTTGTATCTTGAGAACCAAAACACCAAATTATTACATAAATAACCTAGCCACCATGTCCATTGTTTTTGTAATTAAGAATGATTATGTTAACACTAAAATCTTGATTTAAAAGGCATTTACCTCTCTGTGGATATAGACATGTTTATGAACGTTAAAATCTAAATCTTACATACTGCCTTTTAAAGGTTCTGTGCTACACAAAATTGATTCTTGTGAGCTTTAAGCCATTTTATAATGCTGTTACCTCATCAAAAACATACCTGGAGTTGTGTTTGGTTTCATTCACACATGTTTGGGTAAAGCAGAGAGGCTGGGCACTCCCTTAGAGATAGAGTGAGGAGTTTGGTGACACGGGAGGGGCTTGGAGTAGAGCCGCTGCTCCTCCACGTCGAGAGGAGCCAACTGAGGTGGCTCGGGCATCTGTTCTGGGTGCCTCCTGGGCGCCTTCCTCGGGAGGTGTTCTGGGCATGTCCCACTGGAAGGAGGCTCCGGGGAAGACCTAGAACACGCTGAAGGGACTATGTCTATCAGCTGGCCTGGGAACACCTTGGGGTTGCCACCAGAGGAGCCGGAGGAAGTGTCCAGAGTGAAGGAAGTACAGGAGCCCCTGCTTAGACTGCTGCCCCCGTGACCCAGCCCCAGATAAGGGGAAGAAAATGAATAGAATAATGTTTTAGTAATCCCGCATTATTAGTCTGTCGACACTTCCAAAGCTCTGCAATGTTCTGTTCCACATTGTGATGTCACGAAGCAGTAGATTTTAAGTTAACAGCAAATGCATTTTACCTTTATTTCAGTAGGGATTGGCAATTCCAGGGTCCAAAGTATAAGATTCTTATGAAGGTGTATGTTTAAAAACACAGTGGAGCACTTCTTGTATTGTGACATGACATCACAAGGTGGAATAGAGTGTTTTCTGTTTGAGAGAAGAACTCAGCCTAAATATACAGGATTTGTGTGTGTTGTGTGAATGAAACAAAACACAACTTTTTGATGAAGAAACTACAGTATAACAGATCAGAAAACAGCGTAATATGGACCCTTTAAATTCCACATAACATTCCATACCAACTTTTTTTTTCTCCAAATCAGCATAGTGCATAAAGCTGTTCTTGCTCTCTCTATCTTTCAAAACACAACAGAGGTCAAACGGGAGGTGAGAGCCTACACGATGAACAGTAACCTCAGACAGTAACCTCGCTTCTAGGAGAGTGGCTAACCTTGAGACAGGATTGGTTTCAGAGATGCTGACTTTGTGCACGCCTCACATACAGCATGTCCGCCTCTCTGCTCTACCCTGTGGGCTCCAAGGTGTGAGGTGAATAAACAAAGAAGCACATGCTAATTCCACTGCACCGCTCCACACTCTGAGCTCTGGCCGAACACGGAGAGTGTGCTTGTAATTAAAACAGGGAAGTCATGTAGAAAAGGGATTCAATTGGGTCACAGAATGCTACTAAAATAACATTAGCGCTGAAGTTCTGTATCTATTCCCACCAAGTAGTGTCTGATAACATTGTTGAGTGCCACCCAATCACCACGAGTATAACAGGACTAAGTGAGTTCGAAATTAGGCCCAATTCAGGTCTAAAATTGGACTAAAATATGCTCTAGTACCAACAAAATAAGCCCGTTGATTCTTGTGTACCACCATTTCAGAACCACTGAATTTTTGCATTATCTGAATATAATGAATAACTATATTGACATTGGCGAGGCAGCAATATAATGCAGTTAATGTAGTGCTATGTTGAGATGAACTAAAATGAAAAGTACAATATAAAACTTGATAAGATTGCAGTACAGGTACAGTCCCAATACGATCAGTTAAATGAAAATATATTTTTTATATACGGACTGGGTGAACTCTGTAACCAGTTAAACATATGAAGCCATAAACTAAAGCAATCTGTGCAAAGAACATCCTCTCTTAGTGCAGTACTCATAGTGGTACTTTCTTAGAGATATTTGTATATGTGCAACTATAGGCCAGGGAAATGCTACTCCCTTCATCCACATTGATATGAGCAGACAGGAAACCAGGTGAACTGTGAGCTCTTCCCACCTCTACCGCCACCATTTTGAAGCCTAAAACAAAGTTGGGTTACATCATTGCCGTACATGCACACAGTAAGACTTTCAGCTTATTCGAGGGGAGATCACTAATGGTAAAAACGTTGTGTCGTCTTCTGTAATCTCCGTACAAAGAAAATATAGATCTCCTTTTGTCTGGACATCACCACTTTTGGACAATGTTAGTTAAACCCACCAGAATGTAAAGAAAAGACCACATGTTGTCCCATCCAGTAAAGATAGTCGTCGGAGATGGCACTGGGCATTCTTTGGGGGTGGATGCAGCACTTTGAGCACACCACATGGTAAACCTTTTCCAGTGAGCAGCGCCTCCTGCTGTCCACACTGCGTATAGAACCAGTCAGTCACAGCTGTGTTCGGAGTATTATCTGCATTGCCTCTGCATGGCCCACAGGGGGATGGCGAGCGTGACCAGGAGGAGGCGGGGCGAGGGTCTGTGGGAGGGGGCGTGTCCGGCGGCTGCAGCACGTTCGTCACTGCGGTCGGCGCCAATCACAGGAGCCTCTTCAGTCCCCACGTAAGTGTACTCTGTAGTGCAGCCCTCAGTGCAGCCACTGCCACTGCCTGATGCACTGCCCTCATCACCTGCCACACAAAAACAGAGACTTACACAGAATGTACAAATACACAACCATTTAAGGGTACATTATGCAATTTTTTGGTTGGGGGTCCGTCACCTTCTTGTCTCTATGGATATGTCATTGCTCGGCCTAGAATGTTCCACAGTATGACATAAAACAGGTCTAATTTATATGTTATATTTTATATCTCAAAAATAAAAAACAAACAAACAAACAAAAAAAAAAACAGGCACTCTGTCTGTGAGCGTGGTTGCCTCTCCGCAGATCTGACCTTGGTCTGGTTTGGTCTCCATGCAGATAGAAAGGTTTAATACCATATTGTGAAACATTTCTGAAAAAGCAATAACATCTCCATGGAGAAAAGCATTTGACAGACCCTCCACCAGAAAAGTTACACAATGAACCTTTAAAGTTCCTATATTACACAAAATGGACTCTTAGGGCTGTAAGCCATATATGTTATACCAGTCTGAGTAACCCTGTCTGTCTCTAAACCTCCAAATGCTCTGTTCCACCTTGTGATGTCATGAAGCAGTAGTTTTCAAGTTAACAGCTCCTTTTACCTTTAGTTCAGTAGAGATCAGCAATCCAGGGCTGAAAGTCCAAATGATTCTAGTGAAGGTGTATGGAGTTTAATAACACAGTGGAACACTTCCCGTATTACTACATAATATTGCAAAATGGAACAGAGTGTTTTCAGTTTATTTATGCAAGTTTGAGGAATCTTTATTCTTCCCACTTAGGCGCGGACTGGCAATGCAGCACTTTGTTGTGAGTGAGTTTGTTTCTTTTATTAAAGGTTGTATAGAGGATTTTCCAAGGAACGAGAAATCCAGCGACTGTTTGTCCTTTTTCAAATGTTGCGCATGCGTGAAACCACCCCCCCTCCCCTACAGCTCCCTACGTAGAAACGCCTCCTCCCGCCTCCTCCTTACGCCAGAAACAGGTTTGTTTACAGCCGGTGCGCTGCACATGACTTGTAAACAACTAACTACAGTGTTGGTTAGGCAAGACGGAGAAGTGAGGAGCGGGGGGAGCGGGGGCGCGGACATTTCGTGCGCGGACGAGAAGCGAGGAGCAGGGAGAAGAGCGGAGCAGGGAGCAGGGAGAGGAGAGGAGAGGAGAGGGGAGCGGTGCGCGGAGATTCCGTGCCCGGAGAAGTGAGGAGCAGGGGGAAGAGCGGATCGGGCAGCGGGGACAGGAGCAGGAAAGGGGTGCAGAGAAGGTTGCGCGGAGATTCAGTGCGAATGAACTAGCTACAACACGCAGCAGCAAGCGGACTCTTTCTTTGCCTTGAAAATTACGTTTTCAGACATAGGATATCGCTTTCGTGTCCTGAAAAACGTTTGACTAGCTCTTGGAAATAAAGTACGTTTTCATAATAAGCAGAAGTGACCTGTCCAGGAGTAATTTTGTGACCAGTGCGTCAGTCTTTAGACCCTGCGTCTGCTTCAGTCGCGCCATCGCTGGAATGAATCTTCAAGAATCACCTTAGTTTGGCTTCGCTGCATTTCCCCTTGTCTTCTTCTTTCAGCGACCTCAAAATCGGACTTTCTTTTGCGGCGAACTGCTCCTGGATTCTTGTCTGCCATTGCAACAAACTTTGTGCTAACTGCGAGGAAGATATAGGTCAAAAAAAGCTGCTAAGAACTGTTGCGTTGGTGGAGTAAACAGCGTCTGTGCAGCTTGCGTCTGTGGACTGCGTGACAGGCGTATGTAAACCACGTACCGGCGGCGCGCAGGCAAGTCAGTTACGCTAGAAACGTAGGGAGATTGATTGACAGCCTATCAGCTAACAGATAACGAGGCAGTGTCGTTATCTATTGGCAAATGTTTAGCCCCACCACGTCCAGAGTTGATGAATTTTTATTCTCTTTTTTTTGGTCATCATAATTACAAGGCTACTGCACCTCTATAATGCTATCATTGACAATTTGAAACAAAAAAAAATCCTCCATACAACCTTTAAGTTGTTGTAGATCAATATTGCACTTTAAAATGTACCAATATATTAAATACAGATGTATGTTTGTCTTGCCCGAGGACACAATTATAGAAAGCACTTAAGCAAGTTGGTATAGCAAATGTTTAACCCACTGCACGGCTATTGACCTGTGTAAAGTAAAATCTGTAACTGAAATGACAATTCAGTGTTGACAGAATGCAGAAACTCTACAAGTCAGAGAAAAAAAAAGTGTTGATTAAGTGTCATGTATCTCAGCTTCAGTTTAATTACTGTAAAATCAAATCAATTGAAAAAACATCAGGTTGTTGTGCTGCAGTAATTGACAAACAGTTAGCACACGGCTCTAATGCCGCTATTTTTTGTCACACACAAGCTGTGAAGGTGTAGCAGAAGCAAGACCACATGTTGTTTCATTTCATGAAATAAAGTGTCAAAGGGAAAACACAATACACTGTACCAAATAATAAGTCTCAGATCCTCAGTATTCTACAGGTATTACACTGAAACTAACTAATTATGATGAATGTTTCATGTTAAAAATCTCCAATATTTTTTAAAACATATTTGTATTATAATTGTGCTTATATTTAATTATTTACTAATTTAGAAATCGAGACTGAAACCATAGACTGTATATATACTGTAAATGGACATATAGGTATCCCGCTAGCTGCCACATTCTAAATAGGAAGTGAGTGTGGGAGCACTTCTGGCTCCCTGGAATTAGACACCAATTCACATTTCATTGAAACATTGTCACTCTCTGTGTAATTGCTACTGCGAGCATCGTCATTAATACCTTCGTACTAACCTGCTCTACACAATCATGGAGCTTTTACTTTGCTATTTTTTTTCCATAAATACATTTCCTACTATGGAACTAGCTCCAAATTTGCTCCTATAACTGCTAGCCTCATGAGCTTCATTTGACTGGAACCTCTATGGGTGAAGATGGTCTTATAGACAAAACACTTCCTGAAAGAACTGAGACATATCCTGTTGTGTCCATTTAATTTTATAGTAACTTCATCACATCTTCAAACTCTTTTCTGCTTTCTAAAAATGTCATTATATTATTATTATTATTATTAGATTATTTCAGTGTGCATCAATAGCTGGCCTCCTCTAAATACAGTTATGTCATTTGAGGAGCTTTCCTTTCCTCTTTTCTTTATCTTTCCTTTACTTACTAGAGTCCTGGAAGTAGATATCATTGCCGTTGTAAGCATTCTTGAGTTTGTTGGTCATGACGCGCAGGGCCATGATCTGCTGTCGGATCAGAGTGTCCGGCCTTGTGATGTCGATCTCCACCTCCGGGTTGTTGATCTGGTTGGTCAGTCCCTCCTTCACCACTTCGGGGAAATATCTGAGCACACACAAAAGCATCATTTATCTTTTCATTTCCTTTGACAATTGATCTTTGCAGAAGCAGGGTAACCCATTATGAGAGGTTTTGTTAATATGACCAAATTTTTACATCGTGATCAGCCTAAAATGATTGGGAAAGAGCTGGTTATTAAAACAGGAACAAACAGTGATTTGTGAGATTTTAGGCACGAAAAACATATTTGTGTAAAGGTAAGCAGTTTTTTATTGATGTATTGATTTATTTTTTACAGATTTATTTATTTTGACACATTTTTACAGATTAAATTATAAAAATACACCATCACACCTCAGTCAAGCACCGGTGCTACAGAGACACTGGAGTGAATATGGAGAGTGAATATGTGTGTATTGCTCATAGGTGGATTCAAACCATTAACCTAAGAGTGGTCCAGGTTTTATAATAAACCTCAGCCTGTTCTTTTTGATATGGTTCCAATTTGTGGGGATTACAGTAATGTAGTGGTGAACAGAATTACAGTCTGATTGTCACATACTTTTCCTGCTTGGGACCAATACACAGAAAATCCTTACTTTGTATCTCCACAATGTTCTACATTTAAAGGACAGTTTCAGATGACTAAAATAAATTACAATTAAAGTGCAGAACAGACTTGGAGACTTGGGGTGAAGCAGAACATGCCCTAAATCACTGTTTCCCAAAGACTTGGTCACGACCCTCAGGTGGGTTGCAAGAGATTTTTCTATAGTCACCTTGTCACGATCTGCATCTAGGTCTGCAATATACAGTTCTGACACTTGAGATTTTCTGAGCTCACAAAAATGAAGACAAAGCACAGAAACAGACTGAATGCTGTGCTTGATGTGCGTGTTGTGCTCTCCTCCTGCACCCTGGACTGGAACGCACTGCAAAAACGCAGACAGGCCCACTTATTTCATTAGAAATAGTTGAAAGGTTAAGACATGTTTTGTATAATTTCTAATCTTTTTGTAATTATTTTATTGACTGTTTTGTTCCAGTATTGCTGGTTCAAATGAATATTGAAAAAAAAAAGAGGAATGGGCTACATTTAATGTCCAAATATAATAATGGTCAAATCCACCTTTATTTTGTGAATTATGAATAATGTGTTTTGACTTGAGGCATGAAGGTTTATGACTTTTAAAATATGGGTCCCCAGAAAAAAAGTTTAAGAAACACTGCCCTGAATGAGTCAAAATATTAAAACACACTGCATGATTTCTGGTAGCTTGTCTCAAGATGTTTTTGCTTTAACTGGTGTGTTCCACAAACATTAAAGATATCTATGTCGAATTTGTACTAGAAGAACCGTGAGCAGTACACACACACTCAAGTTAAACAGATGAGAAATAACTATGGACATTTTCATAGAATTTTTTATAACCCAATGTAATGTATGATCCCACTAGTGTTTCTTCAAAAGAGCCAGTGCTCCCACAGCTCCTCACCAGTATCTCCGCTTCCTTCCATGTAACAGAAAAACTACATCCCAGACTGCTCTAGCGAGATACCCCGGTGAGAGCAGCTCTTATGAGAGGTGTTAGAAACTGCACGGCCTTCTGGGTATTTGAGCCTCGGAGCTTAGACTCAAGTTCTCAGTCTAAAACCTGACTGTTGTACTTACAGGCGAGAGCTAATCTGAGCGAGCAGTGAGTGTGTTTTAATCCCTGGCAGGAGAGGAGAGATAGCTGTGGTTAAGAAGTTGAATATGAGCTACAGACCTGGCCTTGGCGTGGCTATTCCAGCACTGCTCATCGTCCTGCTCACTGAACTGTCCCCGGGCGCAGATGTCATCGGGCAGCTTGGACCAGAATCGCTTGGACTCCTGTAACTTCCCTTTAATGTCAATCACCTGCCAGAGGGGACAGGGAGAGAGATGGGACATTATTATAAGCACTGGATCATAAAGGAGTACATCAGATGAATTAGTGCAAGTAATTGGCCACACATATCCATACTCAAGCATAAAAGTGATCTACAAGCGTCCAGGCTGGCAGAAACCTGAGGATACAAAAAGCTATATGTAAAGCAATTAGAGCAATAAATCACAACAAACAGTAGTAGTTTTGATAAGATGGATAGATAGGGAGTACAATTTAAAAAATTATAATAAAACAAATAAATAAGAAGATTTGTGAATTGTGTTTCAAAAGTAAATGGTAAATAGTCTCATTTTATACATTTATACTTTACATCAAGAAAACACTCAACTATTTCCACACCAAAGTACACAGACACGGGGACAAGGTCAGATAAGTGTCTTGCCCAAGGACACAACCAAAGCATTCATCTGATGGACTCACACCATCAACCTGACCATTTTACCAATGATGTTTTATGTTAAGAGCGGGATTTGAACTTTCATTCACGAGGGTTTCTTCAGCACCAGCTCTGCCAAATGAGCTACTATAGGACGCTGTTCAGAGTGAACATTGTAAACAAACCCAGGAGCATTAACATTTGAGAGAAGACTGAAATATGAACTGTTAAACTAATACAAGAATGCATTTGTAGAGGTCTACAAGGAACAACAAGAATTTCTTGCAGGGAACATTTTATTATCTAAAATACAAGTGCAGTCCTTGATAACTGCACAAACTCAAACCGTGATTCACAACACTATCCCTGGATAAACACTACACATGCAAAACATTTAAATTCACATTTCCATCAATAATCTGACCAGTGTTGCCACATACACAATATCACAATTAGAGGTTTGCCATTGTGTCCTTCGGTAAGACATGTCATCCATCTTATATTTATGAAGCCATTCCTCTGTGAGTAAAAGCTTGTGGTTTGGAGGACATGTCAGACTTTGGAGGAAAAAAAAAAAAAAAAAAAAAACTACTACTGGGTTTTTCATAATCAGGAAAATTAATATAGAAAGCCTATTGAATGGAAAACATGTGTTTGATCAATATGAGTAAAAAACTTTTATAGTATTATATTGTTATAACACCCATTCAGTTCTATAATAAGATAGTCACTAATGCTGATCCGCCATCTTAAGTTTCTTTCCACTTTGTCAGTGTCCACTTCCTCCCATATTGTGCTCATTTGTGATTTGTCCAAGCAGACTGGAGAGCAGACTCTGGTACTGGGAGGACCCCCGCTGTTTCCATCTGGACACAGTGATGGAGGACGGAGCGCAGCAGAGACAGCCACGAGGAACTCACCAGGACCACACCACCACCAAGAGCTCTGTGCCACGCAGGGGGACAGATCACTCACCCAAACTCGGCGCATTTGAGAGAGGAGCTGAACAATGCTCTCCATGCTCCGTGCTTTTATGAAAGAAAAAGTTAAAATTGGTGGTTTTCAGATTCTTGAATGTGTTGATGTCTTACTTTTAGATGGAGGGCAAGAGACAGTTGTTCCTTTGTGTATATTGTTCATGACTGTATGAAAGTATGTTTAAAATAATTTGTATATATGTATATATGAAACAATATACAATACTATCTAATTGAACATGTTTATTTCATATCTGAGTTCATATCTCAGTTTGTTTTCAATCTAATCCAGAATAAAATATTAATGATGTCCACAGAAAAATATATGTTTTTCCAATTGATTACATTGTCCTTTGCCATGAAATAACCAAAAGGTAAAATCATAAATGATGAACCTGATTTCTATTAGTGTCTAGACCCATGAACTCACTGTATTACAATGACAATCTGCCTTTTAACAATATCAATTTTAGCTGCTTCCATCTGTATTAAATATTATTGGCCTATAGAATATCCAACAATATGTGTAGTAATATGTGTATCAACTTTAAACTTTATACTGCTATGGACAGATAAAAGTTAACTTAGTAAATAGGTAAAATATTTAAAAACACATATGCAATAATATGGTAAGCCATCTTTCTTTCCACAGAATCGACAAATGTTCCTCTCAGGGGATCATGAATAGAAGCATGGACCAACATTCAGCTCTTTTCATCTGCACATCATTTTTACAGGGACTTTCAAAACCCTTTTATTTAAAGGTGCTGTGTAACTTTTCTGGTGGAAGGTCTGCCATCTGCTTGGCTCCATGGAGATGTTGTTGCTTTGTTTGGAATGTCCCGGTATGCATTAAATGTATCCATCTTGCATTTTTTACTCAATATTTTTAGTTTTATTCATTATTTTTTGACTGAAAAACTAGCTTTTTTACTGTGAGTGAGCTCGCTTCCCTACAGAACTGACATGTAATTTGGCCTTGTGGCATCACCTGCTGTCGCCATGGAAACAAACAAGTGTAATGCCATACTGTGGACCATTCCGGGCAACATCTCCATGCAGAGACCTAGGTGTGGGACCCTCTACTAGAAAAGCTACACAGTTAATTAAAGGGATAGATCCTGGATACTGAATTCCCCTTCATTAGAGCAAACACAGCTCTAGGGCCAAACTCAATAATATATGTACTTTTTCTGTGGTTAAACATTTATTTATATTTTGATGTGCACTTTGTAAATAGTTTGCTTCATTAAGACTGTCATTAGTTGTGAGGCTGATTGATAATGAGATGTAGATGTATGACTCATGATTACATAAAATCACTCCATTAATACACTCATTAAACACTGTTGATTTGTGTTTTTGTGTTAAATGTTTCAACTTGTGCTCAAGTTTCAGGTTACAGCGTTGGACTTCAAGAAAAAATACAAGTGAATTTGAAACTTTACCTGCATTTCTTGCCATTATCCAATAGTTTTTATATTTTTTTATTTGTTTTTTCTTTTCTACATATACATATATACATCTACATATATCCTCCTTCATATAATTGAAGCCTTCTGTATATCAAATGCAGAACGTGGTAACCATATAGACTGAATGACTGGTACTGTATATTTAATGTATTGCCAGTAATACGAATACAAAGTAATACTAATATTAAGTATATTACTAATATGAAGTAAAACTAAGCAGTGGACATTCACCTTGTGGCTGGTAGGGCCGTATACATTTGCACACTCTGCCTGTACCAGAAAAACTGCTCTGAAGTCTGTCCCATTCTGGTTTCCCTCCTTCATTAAACATGTTTTTGTGCAGCTCCGGCCCGCTGAAGTCCCCCCCTGCTCGGCTCACATCTCGGGGGAGTCTCTCCTTGTGTCTGTGGACTGCAGTGGATGGAGGCGCACACACAGAGAGAAGCAGTTATGGCTGGTGGCTCTTTAGCCTGTGGTAATAATTCAGGGAGCAGCAGTAGTCTCCCTTTATCTGGGCTGTAGCTACAGGCCACACAGTTCATTCAATAAAACTCCCTGTGAATAGAATAAACACATCATACTCCACACATTAAGTCAGCTCTTAAGGCACAGCACACACACTGTCTCCTGCTCCTCACTGTGTTTAACATCAATGCACAAACACTTGGTTAAATTATGCCTGACTCATTATAATCATTTACTTTTGCCTGTGCCTGTAGAAATCAAATCATATGGTGTTTTATTGTTGTAATGTTTCACTCTGAGCATGTGCGTCTTGAATCTGATGGAAAATATATTTAGATTATTCAACCCATAAAAGATGAAATTACCTGTAGATATAAAATATTATGCAGAGAGCAGGTTAAGCATTAAAATTTTACAGCTAGATCAGAAAGAGAGCAGCCCTGTTTTGGGATTCTCAACACCTCTAGGAGTGAATCAGTCTGAATGAAACCAGAACATTACCTGCATGCTAGTTTTAATATTATTTTTCAATTGCAATTCAGACGTCTGGCGAAAACACACAGACTTTAAAAGAGATTAAAAAAATAAAATATAAATAGATTGAGGGACAGACAGAAAGTGGCCCAATTTTCAGATCAAATGTTTTTTTATCAAAAAACAAAACAAAACAAAACAAAAAACATCCAGAGTAAGTGTGGTGAATGTGTATGGACTTAAAAAACACAAAGGAGAGCTTTTATATTTCTGTGGAACTTTTTTGGTCAATAAAGGTTAAGGGTGTACTGTGTAACTTTCCTGGTAGAGGGTCCGCCATATACTTAGCCTGATCCATCAGACGGCTTCACTTCGTAAAAACCGTCTGACCTCGCAGTGTTAGAATTTGTTCACTTGATGGTTGGTGGGTACTTTTTTCAGTTAACCAATCGCTACTATTTGGTCGTGACGTCTGTAATGCGCCGCTAACGGGGCTAACTGGTGTATTAAGTTTTTCCCTAATCCCGTAGGAAGGAGGACAATAATGTCTTTCCCCTTGATAAAATTCACCAAACATTTTCTTTATTCCGACTTTAAATCTTCGATCTCAAGAATTGTTGCCAACACAAAATCTATGGCTCTTCGCTGATTGACTGGTGCGGGGGTTTTGCAAACCGTCTAGTTTCTGATTCCTGACCTAGTCGCTGGAGAGAAATGAAATTGAGCAGAGGCACTAGGTGGCGCCAGCCTGGCTACCATACACTTCATCGATAGTTCCACAATATGGCAATAAACATATCTATCTCCATAAATATGAGTATGTGACACCAACAGGTCAAGTTAGTTCAGATGTGTGGAGAGGCAAGCCCACTCAAAGCTCAAATACATGATTTTCTAGGTATTTCTGAGCAAAAAACAAAACAAAACATAATTAAATCAATGCTAGATAGATGATTTTAATGCCTAAAGTGGAGCATTCTGGGGAAACAGGCGATAGACCCTTCATTAAAAAAAATACACATTGCATCTTCAAGTAAAAATATAAATAAATTACTGAATAGACATTACATTTGCTGAAGATATTATAACAGATTGACATGATGCCTTTAGCTAAAAGAGATAATGTTGATAATTACACAACACAACAAAATACTGCAGTAACAATAGTACACATTGGTTACACAAGAGCCTCCCCATGTCCC